AATCCCCTAGTTCAACAAACCAAGTAAATTATTTTGACTAAAAATGACGTAAAAAAGTTTAATATTTTTGTCATGGAATTCTAGTTTTAGACTTAATCTTTAGAGCTAGTCATCAAGAAAGAACTCAAACTTCAAAATAAGATACTGTTATAAATCATTATACTACATCTACAAAATGATGTAGATCATTATACTACATCTCACAATATATTTCTGTTATAAATATTTGAATCTTTCAGTTTAATTATTTCATAAAGAAAACAAAAATGCATTTTTATCGTAATAGTCTAATAAAGTGGCTTAAACAAAACATATATTATTGTACCATTCGATTAATCTCTTCAAAAATGGCTTCTGTTCGTCATTAATGTCTTCTTCTTCCACGTATAAAAGCATCTCCAATGGTACACAAAATCCTACACCAAACCAATTTTTTGATGTAAAACTCTCTCCAACGCAATACTATTTTCAACACCAAAATGGTGTTGAAATTTTTTATTTATAAAAAGGTCCTTTAAATTTTAATCAACTTTAAAATTAATGAAAAACATATACAAATTGTGATGGTTAAACCCAAAATCTAATATATTTGATAATAATTAAACAAAATGTGGGGCTTTTTCAAACTCATGTCCAACTCTCCTATTAGTATGATATTGTCCGTTTTGGGCCCAAGCGGTAAAGCCCGTACGGATTTCTCTTTGGACTCATTTCCAAAAGACCTCATACTAGTTAGAGTTGGATATCTCTTATATATTAGACAATTCTTGTCTAAACTTCCGATGTGAGACTTAGATTGATATCCCAACAATCCTCCCCTCAAACCAAGGACCACATAGACCTATGTCCTCCCACCTCCAGCGAAACTTGGCACCCATCTTGTACAGCCGTAATCACCAACGAAACCCGCCACCTAATCTTCCGCTTAGTTAGGAAGACTTTCGACACAAGGCACCGACACCCTTTAATCGCGAGGTCATCTTGAGGGCTCTCCTCCAACAACGAACTTGCAGCCCACACCCACTTTCCCTGGTCCACCTTTTGTGAACCTGGTCTCTGATACCAATTGTGGGACTTTTTCAAACCCATGTCCAACTCTCCCATTAGTATGATATTGTCCGCTTTGAGCCCAAGTGGTAAAGCTTGCACGGATTTCTCTTTGGGCTCCTTCCCAAAAGGCCTCATACTAATTAGAGTTTGACATCTCTTATATATTAGACAATTCTTGTCTAAACTTCCGATGTAGAACTTTGATTGATATCCCAACACAAAAGCTTGGTATATTTTGTTATTTTATATGTTACAATGTATTTCTTTTATATAATAAATGTTAAATTTAATTTATTTCATAATTTTTTAAACTTAAAAAAATAAATGTGGTCGATTTGTAATTTTTAAAGAATTGAAAAAAAGAATCTATTA